TGCAATATATGGCCTTTTTGGCTGAACTCTTTTTCATGTGTGAGGCTTTATCTTTCGACGTAGGTATGTTCTATGTATAAAAATATGTCATATTGAGCAAATTTAGAATTACCAACACAGAACCACTTAAGCAACAGCAACTTGCTATAGCGAGACTTTTTACTCGAGGATGCCAGATAAGGTATTGCATTGACGTGTGGACTTATTTGTGTCCATTTCATCAAAACATATTTTGTCATTAGAGCTTGATGAAAAGTTAGATATTATTATTTGTCCTTTTTAACTCAAATAAGATTGAAACTAAGGCTATTAGTTTGATAATATTCTCTTGGAAGTTAACACCACTCAGACTTCCCTATTTAAATGCTAATGTTGTATTTGCTAACTTTTTATACCGACAACTTCTATTCAATGACATCGATTCACCCTATTTAGTTAAAATAATGAAAAACTATAGGTTGAATTATCCCAATTAGCTTCAATTGCAATTAGCTAACTTCAAACAATTCAGGCACCAATAGACAACACAATACACTTTCGACCATGACTAGGTTTCATCCTCACCCTTGCAGGCCTTGAACCTGGGTTGTTATAGTGCAATGTATAGCTAGTCATATCGACCATGTCCGTGGATCACAGAGCGGATGAAAACTTCAAGGAGGGCCAGGACGTTCATTTATCACTTTCTGTGGTTCGATTGTAGATGAAGCAAAGTTTTTTTTGCCATTGCAACCGACTGTATAACTTTATTTTAGTTTCTAAGTAGGTCTCAAGTCTAGTAGTAAATCATATTTCTGAGATTTGTTCACTATTTTTTTCAAGCTAATGAAAAAATTTCAACTATCAGTTTTTAATAGGCATAAATCAAAAAAGTGAATACTCCTGATACATAAGATCTATTGGTAGCCTCAAAACGTAATTATCAACTAAAAATAAGTTCTCCATTTCTCGGCAATTGAAGTGTTTTTTAAGACGTCTCTAATCGAGTGTCTAAGGTTTGTGAGGAAAATTCAATTGTAGGTAGCATTCGGTTTGGTGAAAAAGCGACAAGAGTCTTGCACAAACCACTTAATTATATTTCAAGAGTTGTCTGATCACATCAAGTTTGTTGCGCCTCACGAACCAAATTAACCATGAAGTGAGGTCTTGATTCATTGCGTTGCTATGACCAATACTTCGTGTATACGGTAGGTTGATAAGCCTGTGACAAGCCAAGAAAGAGAATGTGCCTAGAGTTTATCTCCTGCCCTGACGACTCTAATCCATTGATTTAGCCGGTATATAGAACTTAAACCACAAACTAGGTAAAAGGGTATAAAATAAAAGTTGTAATTGTATTGCCACATCTATAAAATCAGAAAATAATTCATAAAAGATTATATAAATCAAGCAGAATGGGCTAAAAACGCAGACACAATAAAACGAAACGTTTAATTTCAACTGTAGGAAGAAGGAAGTGGTGAAGGCGGATAGTCAAGATGTCACACAATCACATGAGCATCTGCCAATATTCCAGTTAATTTCATATATTTTTGTAGTTAAATTAGCAGTATTTCTTGTATTTCTTGAATAGAAGCTGTATTCACACTAAAACGATGACGATGATCTTTTATTTAATTTCAGCTTACCTCGTTAAATGCATTCTTGTCTAGAATGTGATGTAACGCATTTTAATTTAGCCAGAACTGGTCATATCATCTCTTCGACTGAGCTTAATTTGAACAGTGCCGCGTCTATTCTCGACATATAAACACAACGAAAGTCTTTCAAGTGTGTCAGCTGGTCAGAGGTTAGATGTGATTTTCAAGAAAGGCCACTTCCCATCCAAACTCTACTTTGGGCTTTAAAGCATACATGATATAAATATAAAAAAAATATTTTCTAGAATGACTGGTAGTTGAACTTTGCCAAAATAAGATGAGTGTAGCTTACGTTCCCATTTGATTTCACATATACTTGTTTTCCTAAAAGTTATTCTCATCTTAGGTTGACTTTTGGGAAAGCAAGGATTTATGAAATTCAATATAAACGTAAGGTATGATTCTGGAAAAGTTTTACTACCAGTCCTTCTTTAACTTAATAAAATAATTTTTTTCTATTTATTATCAAGTATGCGTTGATGCTGCCAGACAAGCCTGAATACGAAATGACCTGTATTAAAGATAACGTCTGTTCACTGATCCGCTGGCACTCTTGGGAGTTTGGCGTTGTGGTGATGTGTCAAACATAGAATTTATTCTGCTTAAATTGAGTCTTGTTGAAGGTATGATTATTTCTAGCGACAGTAAAACTGCGCTTTAGAACAGTCTAAAAAGGAATATCTTTTCGGAAATCAATAATAGGTGAAATTTAATGTAAACGTAAATGTTTACGCATCTGATTGTGGCCGGATTTAACTATCTGTTCTTTATCACTTTAACAAAATAGGGTGAATACATCTTATAAATAGGATCGGATAGAGATTGCGAAAACCTAATTATAACCAAAATTAATTCTCATATCTATTTCTACAATATAAAAATATATATACTTACCCATATAATTAAGCAAAAGAGGGCTCGATGCGAGCCAGTTCTTATTCATGCTCTTGTGTGAGTATAGTAACCTACTAAATATTTTTAGATTAATTATGTACATGAATAAAATTGACAGGATTGTAGCAGGAATACTTAATATGAATTTAATTTTTATTTTTAAAACGCGAATATTTTCCAAATGGCTATCACGCTATACATAAAGATATAGAAGTTTGATGCAATATTGCTTGTTGAGGGAGGAGAGGGGGCGCCTCAAATGATACACGAGATGACCTGATTCTGGCTGGACAAGCGCTAGGTCTACAAAAGCCCGATCAAGGCAAAGACAATACACACACTCACAGGCCCTAGAACAGAGAGACCAGCTGCATTACTCAACCTCATTTTGCAAGGGACTGGGATGGAGTCTGATGGTCGTGTGGAGTGACTGACTGAAACAGCTACACTTGTGATATTCGCATCTATCATTTGCGTTGTTTTAAGCCACAAACACGTCAGCAGTAAGTAGGTTGCTGTGCCCAGCCTCAATCTTGGCAACTACTTCGAAAATAGTGCAACATCCAGTTTGTTGTCTGCCTCGGAATTGTGGAAGTCGTGTAGCGCAAGTGGTATGACAAGACTCAAAACACTGAGGCTGACCAGTTTGTATGCTTGTAGGTGGGTTTTCAAGTCCGCGTAATCCAGTCGCTTAAGCAGACCATTTCGATCCACCTTACCGCGGAGGCGAGACTCGGAGCAAGGATCTTCTCTCAGTCCCTTGGAGAAAAGAGACTCGGAGTTGGGTCCATTAAATGAGGTCACATACATATTCACAAAAATAATGAAAATAAATATAAATATAAAATTATAAATAAATAGAAAAAGATTTCGCTTGTTCACTTCGTGTTTATCCAAGCCTTTATCTGCTTGATTATGTATCAATCTATGCATGTGTGCATGTGCATGTGTATCCATGCAAGACAGTGTGTGAAAGCAGCCGTGATAGGTCGTAGCATAAAACTAGTCCAGGGCCATCATGTCTTAGACCCGAAAAAGGCAATTTCGGAATCCGACAGATTCTACTCGTAGAGTTGATGGTCTTAAAAGATGCAAAGAATGAATATGCACGTAAATACAACGTTTTTCGAGTCGACTAGACAAATTCTCTTTTTCGTGTTGGCCTTTCAACATGCTCTCTTCCAACTTAAGTCTATCAACCAGACATCTGAATTTATTACCAAATTTCGTCCTACTTCTCTGTTTACGTCAACCTATTCCATAATTTAGATGTGAGTAGTTGCTGTGATCTAATTAATTATTGACTATGAACTTTATCAGTCAAGGTCAACTAAAGTGATATGAGAAATGATCGTTGGGCTTCCTACAGAAAATAAATGAAAAATTATATGTATGCTAATGAATATTGTTAGAATTATTTTTGTTTGATAGTTGTGAATGCATAACGAAATAAACGAATCATTCTTTAAAAGGCTGCTTAAAAGATGCAC